TATATATATATATATATATATATATATATATTTATTTTATTTTGTTAATGATCAGCTTTTTAGAAAGCCCAGTTTGGGCTGAGAGAGACTTTAGAGTTTAGAGAAAAACAGTGTAAAAACAAAATAAAGTAATAAAAATAAAATGAAAGTAAATACATAATTAAAAAGATTTATTATAATAAATAAATAGATATTTTAATAAAATTATTTATTTATTTAAATAAAAAAAAAATGCCTCAAATAAATAATTATAATAGATTTTTTTTTAATTAAAAATAAAAAAACAAAATTTTATTAAAAATAAATGTTAATTGATTTTAAAACAGTATAATTAATAAATATATAATTATAATAGATTACACAAAATTTTGATTAAAAAATAAATGCAAATTGATTTTTAAAACGGTGTAAGAAGTAAAGAAAAAATAAATAAATAATTATAATTGATTAAACTAAATTTTAATTAAAATAATAAATGCAAATTGATTTTAAATAAGTGTAAAAAAAAAGTAAATGCATATCTAAAAACATTTAATTATAATAAATAAATATTTATTTTAGTCATTTAAAAAATATATATATATTTAAATAAAAATTTAAATAAATAAATAAAAACGCCTAAAATAAATAAATTATAATAGATTAAACTACATTTTGATTAAATAAATGCAAACTAATTTTAAAACGGTGTGAAAACTTATAAAGCTAATAAAATTAAATTAAAGTAAATACATAACTAAAACACTTGATTATAATAAATAAATAGATATTTTAATAAAAATAATATTTAAATAAACATTTTTTAATTTAAAATGCCTAAATAATAAATAAATAAATATAATAGATTAATTAAAATTTTGACTAAAATAATATATGCAAAATTTTAAATAAAATAAAAGGAATAATGTAAAGTAATAGAAACTTAATAATACATTTTATAATACATACATTTTTCACAGTATTAACTGAGTCTTTATACATGGATTCTCCGATGTCTAAAAGATTGAGAAACCTTGTGCTGGTATTTAATATGAGTATTTGCTGAATATTCTAGTGTCATTCTAATATTCTAATATTCCTTGCGTGTGATGATCACTGACAGTGCTTTTGTTGTTCCCTGCAGCGCATCCAGGCCTCACTATTCGGACTCGAAGACAAGAAGCGGATGCCCCTTCCCGGCATGTCCTCCTTCATTTCTCCCGACAAGCCCAACTTCAAGATAACCACAGTCCGAGACTCCGCCCCCTTCTCCGAAGGGACATCCTGGGACATCCTTAACAACCCTTTCCCCTCATCCCCCCTCCCGCCGGGACCCTCGGGCGCGCCGGCGGCCCACGAGAGTCGCGCCAGCGTCATCATGAAAACCCCCGACGTGTCCAAGTCCTCCGTCAAGAGTTGCTGATGACCAAACCCGAGGTGGACACGTGGAGAACACTATCAGCCATTTTAATAAAGGACCTATGAGCTCACGGGACACACATGGACCATCCCACGGGAGCTGAACCACATCCTCCCAAACAGGAAGTGACACGTGAGCTTAAATTCAGGGAGATTTTGAGTCCGTAAGCCATTCTGAGTGTGTAAATAGGAGGGATCGTTGCCTAATTGCCTTTAGCCGCCCGAGCACCTTATGGAGAGGAATCAGTGACTTTAGTAGCTCGCAAGCAAGACGTTTTACGAGATATGCACATAAACAGCATAATATTAACTTATCTTAAGACCTTCAGTGCGAGCGAATATATTTTTATACCTTTATGCAATGGCGTTTTACATTTATAGGCCCTGTGATGTAAGAAATCCTGTGTGAATTTGTGGTTTTTATGACGAAACAAAGCACTTGTTTTTATGATTTTTTTTTTTTTTTTTTTTTTTTTGAAAAATGTAATCTTTTTAATGTGTCTCTTTCTACTGTATGTGAACGTCAAAAGATGTGTGTGTATATATATGTCCTGCTTGTCTTGTGTCCGTCTACAGCTGTGTATTCAAGTCCCGGATAATGTGTGCGATCTTTATACACGTACAAGGGCTTCTGTAATGATTCTGGTGTATAAAAATCATGTGATCATGAGAATAAATTACAGACTACACTGTTTGGGTCAGAGTTGGGTTGTTTGCTGTGTCGTCTGTACTGAAGACATTAAAGAGAATCACTTGGTCTGTTTGTATTTTTGTAGTCGAGTCGTTTTCCACGGTTGTTTTACTCAAATCTGCTTTTGAATTGAATTAGTTTCTCATGTCTCTTGCTTCTTTTATTCCCTATTGTTCTGTATATCCGAGTGACACGCTTCTGGAACAAGAACAAATGTGGGCGGGGCTTGATTTTGTCTGTGGGGATTTGATTGGCTGGTTGTGGTTTGCTATTGGCTGATCTCATGTGAGTGACAGGTTATAGCCCCGCCCACATCATCAGAGAAGAGAAGAGATGCTGCGAGAGGAACTTATTCTCATTAAAGATTATTAAAACAATCATGATGTGCACGGATAAATCATTTATAATGAATACTATAATATTCCATAAAGTAATTTTGATTTCTTGCATCAACTCTCATGCTGAATAATGACTAGTGGGTTATCTAACTCATCAGTTACTTTCAGATCTGTGATTAACACATGTGAATACACAACACGTGTGCTAAATCACACTTTAAACTTCACAAAATAATTTTTGTACAATGCATTCAAAAAGTTATTCCTGGTATTTAGTGCCTTCAGAAAATGTAGAAAATCTACTTTGTGTGTAAATCATGATAGGGGGGAAAAATCGAGTCAAGCTCGGGTAAATAAATACTATTTATAAAACAAAATACGTTAAATGGAAGATCAAAAAGTCCACCGTCAGGGACAGATATAAATGCCTAAAACGCATTCTTGTTTACTTTATTAGTTTAGCTTGTTTGCTATTTGATTGATACACTCGTACATTTTATATAGTGAATTATTATGTTTTTTTTAAGTCTAAGTCTCTATGTGTGTGTGTGTGTTTTTTTTTTTTTTTTTAATTTATATTTTGACAGCACAACTCAAATTTACATGATTCAAGACAAGTCAACATGTGTGTAACACTAACACAGGTGTGATTCCCCTCAGTAACTGATGAATGCATGTGGTCGTGTAATGCCTCGTTATTTAGCAGGTTTGAACAGCTGGATGAGGGCATAAAGTTAAGGTTATTGCACAACCCAGTGGCGGACTAAACACACTTCAGCTTGTTTTTAATATTTCTGCTTTACTAGCTTCAGACACAAGAGGTCAGGAGTGTACAGATCATATATTGTGTAGACTAGAGCAAAATGAAGGCCAAAAGTTTTCAGGCCAAGAGTGTTTTGTACGCTCCGCTAAACAGGAGAAATGAGGTTGTAAATATGTTCGTGATCATGAACGGAAACACCGTGGACAAAACCGAGGCCTATCGTGAGAACAGCGAGCTCAAGTTACCAGCTTTCACTTTCAGCTGGGTTTGAAAAGGACTTTGTTGAGGTTCATTTGAGTTCAAATCGGCCAATTTGCATGCTAATTAATCCTTGAATGGAAGGTAAACAGATTCTGCTCGTTGTGCATAATGGAGGGGTTTGAGAATCCTCTGAACTCGTTTAAATTGTAGAGTTTAATAGTACATTATAATACTGTGACTATAGTGATTAGTCAAGGGGCAATCAGTCTGACGTTTTGGTTTCATGTTACATGTAACTTAAAGTCTGTGGTGAAAATCCAGCTTTTAATGTTGTTTATGTGTCTATGTGGTGTTTTTAATATGCTTTAAGACAAACCATGTGTAAATTCATAAGTCGACAGCATTGCTGAGTATTTTCTGCTTAAAACTGCAGTGAATCAAAGACAGTCTCAAAAACACGGTTTGAAATCGCTGGTGTTTCTGACGTCACAAACGACCTTGTAACAAATCAGATCAACGTGTGATGGTCAACGAGTGGAGGCTGGGCTAATTTGCAAATTCATATAACTGTGTATCTGTGTACCTAACGGCAAATTCAAGTAATTTTAAGGCATGGAGACATTTTTTCAAGGAAAAAACATTTAAATATGTCGTTTTGTTGAACAAAGATGAGATTAAGGGATACAATTATTGACTACAGGGCAACTTTAAAGAAAGAAATGTGATGACTAACTTGTAAGAGTCTTAGCAGTTTATGCAACCGGACCTGTTTATTATCAGGGTGTGGGAGATTCATTTTGCAGTGTAGACAGCTTTAGTGATTATAACGGGAGTTTTGTGTGTGTGTGCATAGCTCACATTAGACTGAGTCATACAAGCAGTGCTCTTTATTTACATTGCATTATTTACAAGTGATATGAAACGATATGATAATGCGGTCAAAACATGCTGGAACTACTTTAGTCCTGCGTTTCCCATTGCACACTTAGATAACGTTCCTCGACCAATCAGATTCAAGCATTCAGCAGCCAAGGAGAGACCGCAATTTTTCTTTTGTTTAGTTTTTAACATATTTATTTTTACTCAGTCTACAAATCGATTTGCCATCTTTTTCAAAACATGTGACAACAGTAGCAGTGCAATTAGAATATTAAAAAAATATATGCAAATAAATAAATAAAAATAGAAAAGATAAAAAAAGTCCTCATGAAGTATCCGTCCAGTGTGTGTGGACTCTCTCTCTCCCCGCTTCACACACACACACACACACACACACACACACACACGCCCACTGTGCCGGAGAGTTCTCCTGAATCATCAGATGATCGAGCCTCTTCTTCTCTCCGTCAGTTCGGCTTCAGCTTCAGCTTCATCATGACTCGCGTCGCGTTGAACATCAGCGTCGCGTTTATCCTCCTTCTGTCGCGATGCTGCGACGCTAACCGCAAACTCCTGGTGTTTCTCATCGATGGATTCCGTTATGATTACATGGACGATTTACAAAACCTGGCCGGATTCAGAGAGATCGTGGAAAACGGTGTGAAAGTGGATTATCTCACTCCAGATTTCCCCAGTCTGTCCTATCCAAACTATTACTCTCTAATGACAGGTGAGCCTTACCAACTTTTTATTTTATTTTTTACAACAAATGCAATCATAAATAGCCTAAGTTACTTCAGTAACACTTTACAATAAGGTTCATTAGATAACATTAGTTAACTACGTTTATTAGCATGAACTAATTACGAACTGCACGTATACAACATGTATTCATCTTTGTTTATGTTAATTTCAACATTTACTAATACTTTATTAAAATCTTGTTAACATTAGCTAATGCACTGTGAACTAACATGAACAAACAATGAACAGCTGTATTTCTATTAACTAACATTAGCAAAGATTTACAAATACAGTAATAAATGGTTAGTTAATACATTAACTAATGTTAACTAATGAACCTTATTGTAAAGTGTTACGCCTACTTTAGTTGATATGTTACAATATGTTACAATCTTGTGCTGCAGTCTTCCATGTTTTATAGTAAAGTTATTAGTTAGTTCAGGTCTTTTTCAAACAGTTTTTACCTTTATAATGTAGTAAGCTGAGATATTATGAACTCTAATTATTCCCATATGTGTTTGTGAAGCCTTCACATGCAAACACAAGCATGGCACACCTTGGCACAGGCCTAAACACCTAACGCAATCCTGATGTGAGATTTGATACAGTCTTCCAGTGTAAAGGTCCTCAGGAACTCTCTCTGTAGGACAACAGGGATTTGTTGGATCTGAGATCTGCTTAATTATTGTTTGGGTTTATTGATAACAGAGACCAGTCCTATCTCTCTCCACAATAACCACAAACAGCTCTCTCTCACTGAGATTCAAAAACCTATGTCAGAAAGTAAACTAGCAGATGGAAATATCTGAGTACATTATTGTTTATTTTTTATGAAGTTCCTAAACGTAAGTTAGGGAGGAGTGAGCCAATCTAATCTTTCAATCAACAGCCTGAGTATATAAGCAGCCGCTTACCTCTCCCTAGCATCAGCTGTTCCAGTATCATTACTGCTTCATGGAATAATGTCCGACATCCCGGAAATACAGCTCTTCCCGTCAGACGACGAACTGACGAGCCTTCCCGAGACTCCGACAGCCTCACCCCGTGTAAGATCGGATATCACGGATCATCTCCACGAGCGTTCTGGCCGAGAAATCCAGCGCTCATACAAACCACGTTCCAAAAGACAATGCTCTCCTCCACCTTCAAGACCGCCAGTTTTAACTGTGCCTCGTCCGTCTTCTCAGATTTCATCTCTCCACGCAACAGCCGCTAATACACCGATTCCACCCATTTCGAAATGTTCAGTCAACAGCTTACGTCAAGTCCTTTCCAGTTCCGGAATCCATTTCTCCCGCAGATCTTCAAAAGTGCAACTTTACGATCTCTTCATCAGTTCCTTCAGTTCCAGCACCGGGCGTCCTGATCCCACACAATCTCAACGCGCCGATCCAAAGGCTACCGGCAGCGCCGCGGCTCGCACGTCCTCGTCCGCCGGTATTTCCACCCGGCCAAAAACAGCGGCCGCAAAAAATAGTTCCGCTTCTTCTCCAGCTCCAACAAACTTCATCCAGTCAGCCCCACTCCCCAGGCAAGAACCAAACTTTCAATCACTTTTCTCAGCACTCCCATCTGCTTCTCCAGCTTTTTCTAATCCTCTTCATAATAACCCTTGTGCCAGGCCACCATCATCCCCAAACCCACCTACCCAAAGAGCGGATCCTAGCGTGAGGTTGCCTTCGCTAGCTATCCCCCCTCCACCCCCTCCTCTTTCCTTCCATTCCAATCCACCCCATTCCTTTCCTCCCACCTCTATTTTCCAATCGTATCCTAATATTCTTCCCAATTCACATCCGAGCGTGAGGTTGCCTCCGCAAAGGATTTCTTTTCCTTTCTTTCCCACAAACCTTCCCATTCCTCTAGCTTCAGCCCATGCCAGCCATCTTGGACACCAGCCCGTAATGGGACCCTCCGATCATCATTTATCTACTTTTCCCAACACTAACACCCACTCTCCAGGTACAATCCGCTTGCCAGCCCATTCACTCTCCACAGCAGTCCATCTTCCAGCTCCTCCTAATGCAGTGGCCATGGAACCACCTCCAGTTTCAGCCCATCTCCGGTCCTTAATTCTATCAGGTGCAGATATCGATCTTCCTTCTCTACTGACTTCCGTCCCCCTCAATGAATCCCACCGCTCGTTTGATTGCGGCCCATTAACCATCAATCTAAAAAATTCTGTACAACCTTTAAAACGAGTTCTCACACTCGCAGAATTCTGCATCGCTTTTGCTAGATATACTGAAGTAATTTGCACTTCATTTCCAGCCAGACGCAAGGAATTAAACGACTACCTCTCCATTATAGAAGAGCTCAGTCTCTCTTTCGGAGGTAGTCGTTTTTATACATATCATAAGCTTTTTTCAGCTAAATGTGCCGCCCGTGTCACCCACTGGAACCAGTGTCCTTACTGGGGAGCTCTGGACCTCGAACTTTACAACAGAGTCTTCTTAGGCGTTCGGAGCCTTTCTTGCGCCATCTGCAGGTCCATTATTCATTCTACTTCAGAATGTCCCCAAACCAACCCAGATCATCCAACCCATCCAGCCCCTTTCCAAGAAAAATCCACCGGCTACGTCCCTCAACCAAGGAACGACCGCAGTCAGATATTCACCTCAGTTTCAGGTAGACAAGTGTGCAACAGCTTTAATTCCTCAGGTTGCAACAGACAACGATGCCACTTCCTTCATGTCTGCAATTTCTGCGGCGGAGCTCACGCCCGTTCCATTTGCCCCGTGCGCCGCTCCTCTGCTAACCTCAATAAAAAATGTCAAAAGTACCTCTCTAGTCCAATCATCATTTCATCACTAGTTAGAGAACTACACAACCATCCAGACAAAAACTTCACCCAGTTTCTTCTTTCAGGCCTGAAAGAAGGTTTTGACCCCGGCTTGGTAAGCATACCTGATTCCAGCCTGATTTGCAACAATCTTCAATCCTCGTCAGTCGAACCCAATATAGTGGAAACCCTAATCAAAAAAGAACTAGATTCAGGATTCATGATCGGCCCTTTTGATTCTCCACCTTTCAAATTATTCCATATAAGTCCTATCGGAGTAGCCACTAGGACATTTTCAGGCAAAAAACGAATCATCATCGATCTCTCGGCTCCCCATGGAAATTCCCAACCCAGTATCAACAGCCTAATTCCTCTAGACGAATTTTCACTGCACTACCACGACATAGACCAAGCAATATCTCTCATAAAAAACGCCGGTTTCAGAGCCTGGTTAGCAAAGGTCGACATTACATCGGCCTTTAAAGTCATGCCAATTCATTCAGATTTCTGGCACCTTTTCGGCATTCGTTGGCACGAAAAATACTACTTCGCAGTGCGGCTAACTTTCGGCTGTAAAAGCAGTCCCAAAATTTTTGACATGCTTTCAGAACCACTCTGCTGGAATAATTCACCAAGGCCGGCCTTTCATTTCCCATCTGCTAACTCTCGCTACCTCAGCATCTGGTTTAGAAGACATAATTTCACTAAGCCATGTAGGGCAGACCTGAAATTATGGATCTCATTCCTCAAACAATGGAACGGGATTACCTTCTTCTACAACGACTTCGTGTCCCGACCTTGCAACATCAACTTTGGAGAGAGAAAGGCTGTCTTGCCAGAAAATGGTTCTACTATTAGATCAATTTGTGTGTGTTGTTCGCAAAGTCACTCTTTGGAGGAATGTCAACAGTTCAAGAGGAAGAAGCACCAGGATAAAATAACCCATTCTAAAGGAGAAAGAGCTTTATTTTGGCTGTTTATGTGCTGGGCACATGAGTCGCAATTGTGGAAAACGTGCGACCTGTGGGAGTTGCGGTCAAACACATCCTAGTGTGCTTCATGTTGACAAGAGAGACAAAGCCAATGCATACACGGAGCGACCTAAGGAGCCTGTGAGACCTAACACCACAGCGTCTAAAGAAGCCTGTGGTCGTGTAGGGGTCGGAAGTGATCGCTGCCTCCTTTCCATCTTGCCAGTCCAAGTCAAATCCATCAAAGGGGGCAGAGTAATACAAACATATGCATTTCTGGACCCCGGCAGTTCAGCCACTTTCTGTTTGGAACATCTCATGCAAAGGCTTGGGTTGTCTGGTAAACAAACCCACTTTCTGCTACAAACCATGGGAAAGGAAAGGGTCGTGCCAGCAAAGTTATTGTTTGACTTGGAGGTGTCTGGTGTGGAGAGCAATGTCTTCTATAAGCTACCAGAAGTCCTCACGCAGAAGAAAATGCCTGTAAGGGCAGACAGTATTGTATCTGAAGGAGAGTTGGCAAAATGGTCATATCTGGCAAAAGTACAGATTCCCAGCTTAGAGGCTAATGTTGACCTATTGATTGGAAGCAATGCTCCCAGGATATTGGAACCTTGGGAGGTCATAAATAGCCAAGGGGGAGGACCATATGCAATTCAGACAGTATTGGGCTGGGTCCTTAATGGCCCTTTGCAGTCTAATGACAGCAGCTTGGAAACAGAAGCTCCTTCAGTAGTTGTCAACAGGATTTCCGTGAGCCGATTGGAAGAAATGCTACACAGCCAGTACAATCATGATTTCAGCGAAAGAGCTACAGAGGAGAAAGGCCCTTCAATAGAATACATCAGGTTCATGGAGATTATGGAAAATTCTGCAACACTTGAAGATGGTCATTACAGTTTGAAGCTGCCCTATAAAAGGAACAATGTATCTCTGCCCAACAACTCCTCCGTGGTAAAGCAAAGGTTGCTCGGGCTGAAAAGGAGGTTCCTTAATAGCAAGCAGTTTTATGAGGAATACAAAATGAACCTCAACAGGGTGATTAGTCTAGGCTACGCAGAGCAAGTTCCAGAACAGCAGTTGGATCACAGTAGTGGTAGGGTGTGGTATCTCCCGCACCATGGTGTATATCACCCCAGGAAGAGGAGTCTGTGGGTGGTGTTTGACTGTGGTGCGACCATTAAGGGAGCATCTTTGAACCAGCAGCTCTTGCAAGGTCCCAATTTGACCAGTACA